AAATAAATTTCATCCCCTCTTTCCTAACGTTGGGATCAGAAGGAAGGCAATGCAAAGACTGTTATTTTCCACAAATTGGCACTGCAGAGCATCCTGATGTTTTCAGAGACATCTTTATCGTTTGGTTTCTGCATAGATCTGCGTGTTCGACTCTCTGGTAAACTACTATCCGTGAATCGGTGGGCGGGGCTAAACAGACAGTGATGTCGATCGTCTTCTGCGGAGGTGGCGCTTATCGACCTATTACATCATATATAGGAATATTACAAAAGCTGTCGTTTTGGCAGACTGCCATCAGTATAAGCTGGTTTAAGACTAACGACAAAGTTTTGAGTTCTGAAACTTACAGGATGCTTTTATAGTACAATGACCTCTTGTGTACAATGTCAAAAGATCAAGGGAATTTTGGTTTCTCTGTTCATGACCCCTTTAAAGTCAGTGGGGTTTTGGACCCCATTGACTTCCATTTTATGGACAAATACTGTTCCACAGAAGAGTAAAGTAAGTATCAGTGGGGTTATTGTTAACGTAAACTAAATCTATGAAAAATAATTTTGTAATTGGAAAAAAGCTGTAAAAACATTTTTTTTATGAAAATCAGAAATTTTGCCTTGGCAACTAAATAAAAGAAGTTTAAATTGAAGTCAGGGTTATTATAGTTAACTAAAACTGAAACTATATATATATATATATATATATAAAATTGTTAATTAAAATAAATGTAAACTGAAATAAAATATAAAACTTTTTTTTATTTCAGCTAGTTGCCACGGCAGCATTTCTCATTTTTATTTAGTTTAACTTAATATACTAAAATAACTAAAACTAAAACTGAAATAACAATCAATAAAACTAGACAGGCATATATAAAAAATACTAAAATGACAACATTTTTTAATGAAAACTGGTTCAAAATATTAATAACAACTTTAATTGTATCTCAATGATACTATAATAACAGTAGTACTGAAGTACTAAAATTACTAATAAAATAAAATAAAAAATATGTTTTGAAATAAAAGTGAATTCAATCTGTGCATTAAACACAGAGTAAATATATAAATAAATAAAACACTTAAAATGACTGAAGCTTAAACAAATTAAATTGTAAATATAACAATAATAGAAATACAAAAGAGAAATAAAACGAATTAAAATGTCAAAAGCACGACAAAATTACTGAAATGTAAACAAAATTAAATTGTAAATATAAAAATAAAAGATCATTAAAATTTTTAATAAATACTATAATAGTATAGAAGAAAACACATTGAAAAGTTTGGTCAAAGATACATTTTTAAAACAAACAAGAAGTCAAGCGTCACTTACAATTTCTTCTCAAGAATCTAGTTAGCTGAACGGATCATTCTGATGTCATCATGACATCACAGCCCCAATCACATTATCACATGACCGCCCACATTTACATATTAACACCTAAACAGTATTTAGCTGCTTCAGTACCATTGGTAAACTACCACTGGTACACAGAGGCTAGACAATCATAAGTAAGGTCATTTACATATAGATGTCTTATAGAAGTCTCTTTTATTTAAAAGGACAGAGAGAAAGTGGGAAATAGTCATGAAACAAGTTACTACCGTGTTTTTAGTCCAAGAAACATTAAACAAACATTATACAATTACAAAAAGTGACAAATATGGCCTCTTTAATGCACTACTGATAGCCTACCAGACTGTTATTGTATGGTATCCATGCTAACGCCTGCTTCTGTTTGTTCAGGAACGGAGGCTGGACTCCCTGGTCGTCCTGGGCCGAGTGCAGCACCAGCTGTGGCATTGGGTTTGAGGTCCGTCAGCGATCCTGCAACAACCCAGCACCCCGACACGGAGGACGCGTATGTGTGGGTCAGGCACGAGAGGAGAGGTGAGTTGAGAGGAAATATGGCCTACAGGCTGTGCTTTATAGTTCTGATTCAATTCATAAAAAGGCCTCTTTGGATTCATTGGTTCGGGACTCAGGTGCTATTAATTCACTACAAAAAACTGAATCATAAGGGTCAAGTCTTCAGGAATCAGTTGGACTACACTAGCTATGCGTTATGGTTTTGTTTCACTAAGAGTCATTTGTTTGATTGTTTAACTAAACTGAACTGAATCATAAGTGTGTGTTTATTTGAGTTGACTGGAAGATGATTCGGTTTCATTTGTGTGTGATTCAGATTGTGTAATGAAAAGAATCCATGTCCTGTTCCGGTGTCCTGGGTCTCCTGGAGTGCTTGGTCCAAATGTAGTGTTCCCTGCGGTGGTGGAATCCAATCCCGCGTTCGGACCTGCGAGAACGGAAACACGTGTCCTGGTTGCCCTCTGGTAGGGTCTTCAACTGGTCATAAAAAATAAAAAAAACCCTAATATCAGAAAAAGATGCAAAAACTATGTGTGTTACTGTATCCAGGAGTATAAGGTGTGTAATTTGGACGCGTGTGCCGAAGTGAGGCGGACCACCCCGTGGACACCCTGGTACCCTGTTAATGTGACTCAGATGGGGGCGAGACAGGAGCAGAGGGTCAGGTACACCTGCAGGGCTCTCCTCGCTGACCCTCATGACCTTCAGCTCGGCAAACGCAAGATAGAGACTCGCCTCTGTCCTACCAGTGACGGAGCTGCTGCCTGCGAGACTGACGGTACACACACACAGCCTCAGAGGCACATACTCAAATATGCACACATCCTGTTAGATAGGGCGGCACCATTTGGAGGAACAATCTAATTGCTGTGATTTTCAAAAAAGAGCTCTGTTTGCTATGCTTGTTTGTAGGTACAATTTGGCCTGAAATGTTATTATATATCAATATATTAAAAATAATAATAATGATAATGATGATCTTTTTGTATACTTTTATTTAGCAATTATTATTATTATTATTATTAACAAATAAAATATCAAACAAAATAAGAATTTAATAAATAATAATAATATAATTATAATACTACTACTACTAATAATAATAATAATTATTATTTTACTAAGAAATTATAATAATAAAAAATATAAAACAAAATAAGAATTATTATTATTGGTAGTACATTAATATTTCAATTTTTATTTAATTATATTATTATTGTTGTTGTTAAAATATTAAAAAATATTAAATAAAATAGGAAATATTATATTCCCTGTAAAAAAAAATAGTATTTAAGAAAAATTATAAAATAATAATTGTATTTTACAGTACAACTGTAGAATTTACAATACCAATCTTTATGGCTGGTTTAATTTCTTAATTTTCAAGTGTTAAACCATCAAACTTTTATTTTGACGAAAATTGCAGGGAGCTCGTAAAGCTTCACTTTTGTTCACAGTAGCTCCTAAGCACTTCTCATTATTTGTATGTGTAGATGGTAGCGCATTCCTAAATGCACGTTAGATAAGTGACCCAAACTCAGTTGCAGAGATGGAGTTTGTTTGGAGCAACACTTACATGTAAACCAAGCCACTCTGAGATGCTGAAATCACTGTATCATGAGCTGCTCATGTATAAATAAACACAGTTCCGTTGTTCACTTCAAAACACACCGTGCATATATTTAACTAAATCGCAGCCTTGATAATTGCACTACGAAATATTACGATTCAGATTAACTGTGCAGCCCTACTATATGCACCCTTTTACATTTGTATAGGTCTAGTTGAGGACTTGTTGAGAATGGGTCGACCTGTGACACGAGTGCAAGGAGCCGCCTGGTCGTCATGGGAAACGTGGTCTGCGTGTTCCAAAGTGTGCTCCAAAGGCTTCCGCACACGCAAGCGCTCCTGCGCCACACCGGATGGCAAGAGCACGCTGTTCGCCTGCAGCGGAGCGCCGGTCGAGTATCAGGACTGCAACACTCAGCTGTGCCCAGGTCTGAGAGAGCCTTGTATCCTCTTAAATAAGTCACTCGTGCCCTGTTAATGGAGTAGTGTAATAATAGTGTTGTTTTTCAGTGAAGGGGGCGTGGTCATGCTGGTCTTCCTGGTCTCAGTGTTCTACTTCCTGTAGTGGCGGTCACTACCAGCGCTCCCGTACCTGCTCTAACCCTTCTCCTGCTCATTCTGGAGACATCTGCATCGGCCTGCACACGGAGGAAGCGCTCTGTAACACACACGAGTGTGAAGGTGAGAAAATCGCATAATAGCAGCATTAAGAGAATATTGATTTTTTTTAAACATTTCTTTTCCTACTTAAGGAATACATATTTGGAAACAAAATAATGTTTTAATGATAAATACATTTAAAACAGTTCTTACAAAATGTGCTTAAACACTTTCCACAGTCTTCGTCTTTACGTTTCCTGTAAAATCCAGTAATTGACCTTAACTATATCCATATATTAACTCTTTCCCCGCCAGCATTTTTGAAAAAAGTTGCCAGCCACCGCCAGCGATTTTGATGATTTTCACTAAAATTTGATGGCCTCCAGAATATTTAGTTGCCGTAAAAACTCGTCTTTGGCGGGGAAGCATTGTCTTCTAAAAGACGAGATAACTCGTCAATGGCGAGGAAAGAGTTAAACAACAATACTTAACAACAAAACAAATGTAGCATATTTCATTGGTTTATTTACGTTTATATTTTTACTACTGTCAAAAGTATTTTTGTATATTTAATAGTAACTAAACTGATTATTCAATAAACATCAAATTTTCATTTTTGGATGAACTATCCCTTTAATACGGTAAGTAATAATCTGCGTTTGATTCAATAAAAAGAACCAGCTCATAAGAGTAATTCGATTTACGAATCGATTGAACTGTACCAGTTGTTCTGTATGTGACTGATTCACTAAAAAGAACTGGTTCATAAGAGTCATTGGTTCTTGAATTGGTTGAACTTCACCTGTTGTTCTGTATGTGTTTGATTCATTAAATATAACTGGTTCATAAGAGTCATTCTTTTGGGAATTGGTTGATCGTACCAGTTAGACTCTGTGTTTGATTCACCGGTTCATAAGGGTAATTAATTCAGAAATCAAGTTTAACCCTAACTGTTCTAACAGTACTGTAATTGTTTGATTCACTAAGAATAACCAGCTCATTCAGTCGTAATTGGTTGGTCTGAACTAGTTGCACTGTATATGTGTGATTCACTTAAAAGAACTGGTTCATAAGAATAATTTGTTTGGGAATCAGTTGGACTGTACCAGTCAAAGAATCAATTTTTACAAGTCATTTTGTTTGGGAGATAAACACACTGGTTTGGGAGAAATACCCCACTTCCCCTTTAAATACTCTGCATGACTGTTCATGATGACTAAAGATTGTAAACACAATTGTGAACTGTTCTGTTTATCTTGCTCACCTGTGTCAGGTGGGTGGGGGGCATGGTCAGAGTGGTCGGAGTGTAACGAGGAGGGGCTGCAGCTCCGGATTCGTACATGTGAAATAAGCTCCGCCTCTTGCCAAGGAAACACCACAGATCAGAGACAGTGTCGACCCAATGAGAGTGCAGGTTAGTTCCTTTCCCTCTTTTTGCTCGTTTCTTTCTGGCATCTCAGACTACAGTATTGTTTCATTTTCTTAATTCTAGTGCTGTCAAAGGGACAGAAGAGGAGCATAAACTGTGGAGGTAAATCTTACATCATCCACCAGCATTCAGGTTTTGATGTGTCTAATGACCCTAGTGTAACATTTCTTTCTCTTTTGGTCTCCTGCAGGGTTTTCTCTGTTCCATTTGGTGCTGACTGGAGCGTGCTGTTTTCTGGGAGCCGTTTTGTTGTCCGTACTGGTGTATGTGTACTGTCAGAGACTCCGTAAACCCCCTCAAGAATCCGCAGTTATCCATCCCAGCACCCCCAACCACCTTCACTCTAAAGAGAACAGCTGTGTGCCCAAGAACGACTTATACACACCCATGGAGTTCAAGGTATCCCATCATGCCACAGTGTTCTCTCTGTATTACCCTTAACTGCTGGGTTGCAACTGCAATACAGATTAGTGCAGATAATAAAATCCGCTTAATCATATAATCATGTATTGTTATTATATAGAAATAAATAGGATTTAACTTTTTTAAAGGGAAGGAGAAAATGATTCCTATAATTCTAGAAACCAGAATATTCAGAATTATTATTATTATTAATTGTGCATTTTGTTTGGCTTAGACCAGGGTTCCTCCATAGGTGGGCCACATCCGACCTGTGAGAGTAAAAGGTTTGGCCCGCACTAATTTCAAATAATGTGGCATGAAAATTCAAACACAGCATAAGTAGTAGTATTAGTAGTATTTGTTCACATTTGTTTAATAAATAAGTCTTGCTACAGTTGAGAATAATTATCATATAATAATATCATATAATACAATAATTATCATATTTTTATATTATAGTATTATTTTTAATGTAATAATAATAATTATTATTATTATTCACTTTTGTTCACTAAGTTGGGTTCACTTGACATCTGATGTGAAATCAGGGTCTGAAACAGTTGAGAATCGCACCTTTCTCTAATCTGTCTCAAAGGAATCCGTCTTTTCTATCATTCCTCATTTTCCGGTTTCCTCTTTTCCCTCAGAGCGTTGACATCACAGGACCGCTGCAGCATGATGCAAAACATGCTGTGGCCTTTGAAATATTGAAGAGACTTTCGACATCTTGTGTGCTCACTTTCTGTGCTTTCTCCCTGTTCCCCGCAGACTCTGAATAAGAATAACCTGCTTCCACCAGATGAAAGCTGCAACTTCTTCCCATCAGCGTTACCGCAGACCAACGTCTACGCCACCACATATTACCCGTCTCCTTTGGGCAAATACGACTTCCCTTCCATGGATTCACCTTGCAGCTACATGCACAGCTGATGCACGGACACACATCTCATGCTTTCTTAGGGCAGTGTGACCACGGTTACGCCCCCTCATCCATCCATGCAGATGCATTGGAAAATGCATGGATCCACAGGAAGGCTGAGCGCATAATCTGCATCTCAAACGGTGCAGGAAAATGCAAAGGAGTGATGTTCGGATAAGATGGGCCCATGTAGATTTCTTGTAGCATTTCCTTTCCTAAATGTCATCTCGAACTGGAAGTCACGGGTTCAGCTGATCACATGCGTCGTAATAACTACAGACTGACACTCACAAAGCATGCACACTTCTTACAATGCAAAGGAGCAAGAGGAATTCTGGGATCAAGTTTAAAACTGTATTGTGATGTACTACTTTATGTGCTGGCGTCTTTGCGTTGTTCTTCATAATCGAAAAACTGCAACGCAGAACTCGCTTTGAGACGTAAAGCATGAAGGCTTCCAGACAGCTGTGACGTCTCACAGTAAGCCTGAACATCTGTTTCCCTTATTTGTTCCTGGTTTACGTTTTTTTCTGCTCCAGAACTCCAAGAACTACAAGGACACGAGATTCATGAAATCAGGATGACCGGTGATGCGGCAAAAAACAAACAATGGTTTTGCTTTGCCTTCAGTGGAAGATGTTTTGAAGGATGTTCATGCTGCTCCTTCCCATACAATGAAGTATTCAGGGCCTGTCAAGCTCACAAATATACAAAACCGTGCTATAAAAGTATCAAAAAAGTCACCCCTATGGCTTATGCACCATATTCCAAGTCTGAAACATGCAGTAGTTTTAAATGAGAAACTGAAATTTAAGTTACCTGCTTAAATCTTTAAAAATTCAAATTCACATATTCAAACTTTTTCAAACAAATATTTTGCACATTCTTCTTTTTCTTCAAAACAAACTTGATGAAATGGCATGAGGATGAGTAAATAAAATATAAACATTTTGGTCAATCATTTCAAACGAGTTGCTACTGAAACATGGCAGTCTGAAACAGCTCTGTGTGAGTGTTATTGAATCTAAAGGGATGTACGTTTGTAAGTATGTGTATATTTGTAGCTGGCATTATATATTTATACACAAATGATGACATTTTTTTTTTTTTTTGATGGAATCAGGTATTTTTTTCCTTGCTATAACTCCACAGTGAACATATGAGAGCAGCAACTGTTGTCTTCAGTACACTACGAATGCTCAGATTTACACTTATTTCTTGCTATTACAGTTTTGTTTTTTTTTCTGTCTGGGATTGTGTACAGTACATGTTTAATGAAATATTTTAAGCTAATTCTTTCCAGTGAGCCCATATGAACTTCAATGCAGACGCAGACAGTCTGGTGGGATGTTGAATATGACATTAGAGCGGAAGCGGCCGCGGTCGTGTGTATAGTGTGTATCGTGAGCTGGACACTTGCTGATGATGCTTTTTTACGCTGATGTTGCATGGATGCTGCATTATCTGAATGCAGACAGTTCTCTATGCAATAAAAAAAGAAAATGGTTTTCCAACACATGATCACTGCCTTTATACACTGTGACCTTTTGCCATGTTTTTATATGTTGTACATTGTAAAAATAAATACATATCCAGCTGGGTGTCAAAACACCACAATTTACTTTTCTGTCAATCTATCTAGATAGAATCTATCTATCGTTCTATCATTCTATCTATCGTTCTATTGTTCTGTCTATCTGTCTTTCAGTATTTCTATCGTTTTTCCATCTACACATCTATCTATCTACACATTAATCTATCTATCTATCTATCTATCTGTCTGTCTGTGTCTGTTCTGTCTATCCATCTTTTGGTATTTCTATCTATCTATCTGTCTGTTCTGTCTATCCATCTTTCGGTATTTCTATCTATCTATCTCTATCGGTATTTCTATCTATATCCATCTTTCGGTATTTCTATCTATCTATCTATCTATCTATCTATCTATCTAGCTATCGGTATTTCTATCTATCTATCCTTCCTTCTGTATTTCTATCGGTATTTATATCTATATCCATCTTTCGGTATTTCTATCTATCTATCCATCTTTCGTTATATCTATCTATCTATCTATCGGTATTTCTATCTATCCATCTTTCGGTATTTCTATCTATCGGTATTTATATTTGTCTATCTATCTATCTTTCGGTATTTCTATCTATCGGTATTTCTATCTATCTATCTATCCATCTTTCGGTATTTCTATCTATCGGTATTTATATTTGTCTATCTATCTATCTTTCTATCTTTCGGTATTTCTATCTATCGGTATTTCTATCTATCTATCTAGCCATCTTTCGGTATTTCTATCTATCTTTCGGTATTTCTATCTATCTATCTATCGGTATTTCTATCTATCTATCTATCGGTATTTATATCTATCGGTATTTCTGTCTATCTTTCGGTATTTCTATCTATCGGTATTTCTATATCCATCTTTCGGTATTTCTATCTATCTATCTTTCGGTATTTCTATCTATCTATCTGTCCTTCGGTATTTCTATCTATCTATCTATCGGTATTTATATCTATCTATCTATCTATCCATCTTTCGGTATTTCTATCTATCTATCTATCGGTATTTATATCTATCGGTATTTATATCTATATTTCGGTATTTATATCTATCGGTATTTCTATCTATCCATCTTTCGGTATTTCTATCTATCTTTCGGTATATCTATCTATCTTTCGGTATTTCTATCTATCTGTCCTTCGGTATTTCTAGCTATCTATCTATCTATCTATCTATCTATCTATCTGTCCTTTGGTATTCTATCTATCTATCTATCTATCTGTCCTTCGGTATTTCTATCTATCCATCTATCTATCTGTCTGCCTGACTGTCTGTCTGTCTGTCTGTCAGTCGTTCTAGCATTCTTGTGTTGATATGTGTGGTTGTGTTGAGTGTGAAGGATTGTCCAGCGCAGGGAAAGGTTAATAACTCTGGTCATTAACTGTACTGTAGAGTTGATTACAGAGCGGCTGTGTTCTCTCGTGCACGTCGTGTCCTCGAGGCCGAGCCTGCAGATGAGTATTTAAAGTCTTCACTTCGCTCCATGTGATAAATGATGTTTGCGGTTCTAACAGTAGGTAAGTGATATGGCTTTTTAATGAGCTGTTTACTGTTTAGAGGTTTTCCTCTCTAATGGGAGGAAACTAACCATTACCCAGCAGCTGGAGGGAGTTATCAGAGCAGACGGGCTATTTGAACTCAGACCTGCTGTGGCCTCCAGACACACCACTAATGAAAGCTGCTCAGAGGCTCCTCCTGAACTAACACTCACACATGCAGCACAGAGCATTTATCTGCACTCTCACAAATAAGGTGCAAAACTGTACCTTCAGGGGAACAACAGCTTGTCAGTGGGGCAGTACCTTTAAAGGGACATCTTTGTACATTGTTTACCCCAGAGGGTTCATAATAGTACCATAAGAGTACATATTACTGCGCTAATGTACCAATATGCATCCTTTAGGGGTAAAGAAGTTGCAAATATGTCCTTTTGAGGGGACAGCCCTAGTGAAAAGCTGTTGTACCCCTACTGTTATTTCTGACAGTGTGCAAGGGGAAAAAAAAAAAACTGTCTTCACCATAAAATTAAAAGAAATACATTATTTTTTGCATTGTTAATTTAAATTAAGTGCATTTTCCCCAAAATTCTTATTACCATAATGCATTAAGACGTTTGAGCTTTTTGTAAGTCTCATTATTCCCAATTGTGATTAGATTATCAGTAATGTTAAATAATGTTTTACTATGTAAATCGTAAAACAGTAAAAGAAGTCATTTTTCAATTAGGTATATTTTATTATATTACAATTTCAATATTATATCAATATGATTATTTATTTAATAAAATAAGAAATAAAAGGAAAAATATGTTTGGAATGACTTGAGATGACATTCATTTTTGAGAAATGGGAAAAAAATTATATGAAAATAATAAAACCTTGTACACAGACAAATGTAACAACTACTTTTATGTATCTAACATGTACTAAGCTACTGAGCTATGCTTTGATGCAACCTCCCAACTTTTCAAACATAAAATATCATAATGAAATACTATCAAACTATTCATCTGTTGAATATATTGACAAATTTGGCATTTCTTTCACAAAACAAATGGAGTTCATGTAGTAGCCATTTTTTTCTGTTGATGCTAGATGCTAATAGAACAATTGTGTTAAATACATTCTATTATTAATCCCCCATAACATTACAATTGAAAATATTTTAATTTTTTAAACCAAATAGCAGTTACAATTGCTGGACATGTTTTGTCCCATGTCTCAAGAATCAGAGGTGAGTAATTAATGTTGTACTCACTTTAAAGCAGCACTATGTAACTTTTTCTGTGTTCAAAATTTGCAAAATGTATATAATGAGCGAGTACATCATGAATTCATCTTCCAAACCGCGTTTTTGCAGCAGGATAACTGTCTTTTATAAGTCGTAAAAAGCACACTTCATACGAGCTACAGCTGCTATCCAGTCCAAGGTCAATTCATCATTTAAGAAGCTTCTCTGGCTTTTTGCCCAGGAGTCGATGACTGTGACCTTCTGCAGATGTAGAGATCTGGAGATGAGGAGGAACTCAATTAAAATGGTTCAATCAGCTTGTACATTTCAGAGTCTCTGACATGGAAGCGAGAAGAAATACCGGCCAGTTCTTGATATCTGAGGGGTGATGCTGGATTTTTGGAGCCTGCTATGTAGAAATCAGCTGCGATGGTCACAGATGTGTGGATGATTGAACACAGATGAGGAGTTTTGGAGCCACAGCCGTTAGCTTGACATGCAGCACCCAAACACCACACTCACTCAAAGAAGAAACTTCTCAAGAACATCATGCGGATTCTAAGAAGTGATGGCTGCATTGCCAAAATATTAAGATTGCCTTGATTTCTACAGATGTGATAAACTCACTCAATACACACACACACACACCCATGATGCTGGTGAGACTAAAGACATCTTTTAGAGGTTATGAAAGTCCCTGAACAGTGTCAGTGAGCAGACGAACAAAAACCGAGTGAAACATGCTCACAGCGTCCCAAACACAAACACTGCTGGAATGAAGGATCTCTGTGCACAGACTATCGACTCTCTGACTGAACAGAGACATACGGCCTCATTAACATGTCTTGATTATTTACTGATTCATTTGTTTTCATTTGTAGTTTGTTAAAAGAGTAAATGGATGGGATAGATTTCCGAGCACTTTATTAATTGCTTTGGAACTCCATTTAGACTTATTGCAGGGCCGATCAAAAGCGCTGCTCATCATTTATCATCACACACATAAACACAAAGAGAGTGTGTGTTTAGGCCTCGAATCTTCAAAAGCACAAGAGGAGCAGGGTGATAGTCAGAGACGCTTTTTGTCATTGTGCTGAATGGTAAAAAAGTTGCCCAGTTTACATGAATTCACCCTATGGTTCATAACCAATAAATCTGCATGTTAAACATACAGTAAACAGTCATGTGAGGTGCATAGAAATATATATATAATGAGTAGAATCAAATCACTGACTCAAGATAATATCCTTTAAATGGTAAATAATACTTTTTCCATATAAAACCCATCATTTTATAATATAAACATCACATTTTCATTTCATATAGTACAGTAAGTTTTTTTTTTACAGGTTATTACTGTGAGTACAGTATACTTATATACTGTCTCCACTCAGGTCCGGTGGGTGATGACCGATATGAAAATGAAATCATTCATGAGAGATTTCAAGCACGTTTCAAGTCAGTCACGAATGAAGGACTTAAAGGGATAGTTCACCCAAAAATGAAAATTCTGTCATCATTTACTCACCCTCATGTCGTTCCAAACCTGTACGAGTTGCTTTCTTATGTTGAACACAAAAGAAGATATTTTGAAGAATCAAACAGTTGGTGGTTGCCATTGACTTCCATAGTATTTTTTCCCCCTAACATTACTATGGAAGTCAATGGCAACCGCCAACTGTTTGATTCTTCAAAATATCTTCTTTTATGTTCAACATAAGAAAGCAACTCGTACAGGTTTGGAACGACATGAGGGTGAGTAAATGATGACAGAATTTTCATTTTTGGGTGAACTATCCCTTTAACTCCACATTAGCAGCTCAACACCGCCCTCTGCTGTCCACACTCACATACAGTAATACTGACACTTTTATGAAACGATTGATTGATTGTTTATCCTGGCCAGACACGAGCAAAAGATTGAACAGAATACTAAAGAGAGAAAACAGGATGAAGGGGGAACTAATGAAGCATAAACTGCTTGCATAGGCTACATTTCAAACAATTAATAACACGAATTTGTGTTTGAGAGAGACTTTATTGCAATTTATTAATAGTATTTGAACATTGTTACTATTTCTTAAGGAGTATGCATTACACAGTTAATAAACAAATCATATCTTATAAAATCGACAAATCCTTTGGTGGGGTTGGTAATCCTTTATTTATTTATTTTAATTTAACTGGCCTATTTGAAAATGAACTATTTACAGTTTGACCTTATTCTGATGCTACTCTTCTCCTCGGTCCTTGCTATTCATTTCTCATTTGCAATTCTTCATTCTGCATAGCAACACCCTGGCAACCACTTGTAACAGTCTAGTGTTATGGTGCCAAATTTTGCACAGGCGCTCAGCTTTTCCTCAGAAAATCTATAATGTGTATTTCACTTGATTCTTTCATTTACTTCCTACACATGTAGTACAATGTGCAAATGAAGAGGAATGCGAACGCGGGCCTGATTTTCTTCCCAGACCTGCTCAGTGAGTGTCTCACCCTCATCCAGTTAGACCGGAGACACAGACACACACACACACACTCACAGCTGGAGCATTTACACCGACTCTGTCCCAGGTGCGTGTGGAATACATTAGACTTAACTTTATTTTATTACAGTATTCTGAATTTACACCCTCAGAATGAGTGCTCGTCTATGGACTGAGGAGCAGTTTAACTGCCCCGTCTGTCTGGATCTGCCCTCTGACCCCGTGACCATCCCGTGCGGTCACAGTTACTGCAAGGCCTGCATCGCAGATTACTGGGAGAATGAAGGCAGGAAAAACGGCACCTACAGCTGCCCAGAATGCCGGCAGACCTTCAACCCTCGTCCCACTCTCTGCCGGAACACCATGCTGGCCGAAGCCGTGGAGCAGCTACGCCGAGGGGCCCTCAGCTCCACTGGGCGAGAGTCCATCAAGAGCGCCCGGAGCGCCGCGTCCTCTGCGTCTGAGCGTGCGCACACACGGAGCAAAGGGGCATCGAAAAAGCTGCCAGGTTCGGCAGTGCCCTGTGACCGCTGCCCGGAGCCCAGAGCGGCCGTGAAGACGTGTTTGGTGTGCATGGCATCATTCTGCGAGATTCACCTGAAGCCTCATAACACGCAGGAGAAGCTGAAGAACCACGAGCTGATCTCACCCACCGGTGACCTGAGTCAGAAGATCTGCCCCGAGCACAAGTACCTGCAGGAGTTCTTCTGCCGCTCGTGTCAGATGTACGTGTGCTGGCTGTGCACCAGTAACCAGCACAAGGGCCACGAGAGCGTCTCAACACAGGCAGAGAGAAACGAGAAGCAGGTGGGAACCACATCAAACATCCTCACAAATATAGTAACTATAGTAGTCTAAAAAATAAAATAAGAATTTAATCAGAATGTAAAAGGTTCATAATTGTGACCCTGGACCACTAAACCAGTCATTAGGGTCAATTTTCTGAAATTGAGATTTATACATCATCTGAATAAGCTGAATAAATAAGCTTTCCATTGATGTATGGTTTGTTAGGATCGGACAATATTTGGCCGAGATACAACTGTTTGAAAATCTGGAATCTGGGGGTGCAAAAAAAAGAAAAATATAGAGAAAATCGCCTTTAAAGTTGTCCAAATGAAGTTCTTAGCAACGCATATTACTAATGAAAAATTAAGTTTTGATATATTTATGGTAGGACATTTATAAAATATCTGCATGGAACATGATCTTTACTTAATATCCTAATGATTTTTGGCATTAAAAAAATCGATAATTTTGACCCATACAATGTATTTTTACTACAACTACTTAAGACTTGTTTTATGGAAGTCTGAAAATTTCCGGATTTCCCAGGAAACGGCATACTTCTTGCGTGTTTACATCATATCCGTAAATAAAGAATATAAGGTCATACCTCTTGTTTTATTTTCGATCCGATACCGATATTTTCAAGCCCAGTATCGTCGATATCGATACCGATACCGATACTTCTAAACTAAATGGATCTTTTAAATTATTAAAAGAATATAATCAGTAATTATACTCACTTAATATTAGATTTTAAAGCCATGTTTTTTAACATTTCATCTTTTTTGTTTACACTTTAGAAATAAAATATACTATAATTGTATATTTTAGCCCTTTACTGGGGCAGTAACCTCAAAGGTGCAACTATACCCCTTTTTTTAAGTCTCATGCTCACCAAGGCTGCACTTATTTGAAGGGGGGGGAGACAGTAAAAGCAGCAATATTGAGAAATATAAAAATTAAAAATAACTATTTTCTATTTTAATATATTTTCAAATGTAATTTAAAATGTATCTGTGATCAAAGCTGAATTTTCAGCATCATTACTCCAGTCTTCAGTGTCACATGATCCTTCAGAAATAATTATAATATTTGCTGCTCAAGAAACATTTATTATTATTGCTGCTTCATATTTGTGTGGAAACCGTGATGCATTTTTCAGAATTAATTTTATATATAGTAACAATGTTATGTAGGCTAATGTAATAATGTGGCAATGGTTTCTTAAGTTCTACTTACGCTTCTGATGCTTTTGGGAAACGCAGCCCTATTTGCACAAGCACTCTGAGCCATGCCTCTGCAGCGAACGCTGTCTGTGATTGGTTGGTTCTGTCTTTCAGCATTTGCTTGTGTTCCGATGAGCAGGAGAAACGGTTCTATCCAACACAATTATTCGCTAATATAGTCTATTTTTCCACTTAGAAGCTTATTTTATGCACCGAATTTCTTGATAAGTAAATAAAATTAATGGTTAAAAAAATGCACTTTAGAATCGATATTTTTATGTGAGGATCGATCCTTTCGATACAACATCAGTATCGAAAGTATCGATACTTAAGGATCGATCCGCCCGTCCCTAAAGGTCAGGCTACTACTAAAGCCACAAGAACTGAACCTGAAGTTTGCATGCAAAAAAGGAAAACGACAGTACTTAATAAAACACAAATTAACATAGCTTGCAATGAAGCACATTTGCTGTTCATTGACTAGGTTCACAAAACAATGTTTATGATGGTGGTAACGATGCCAAAAAATACATAGTGTAGCTTTAAACATGTTACATTTTGGTACTTGAGAGCTGAACAAACCCATAACCTTAACATGGTATAATCATAATATTTGTTAGCAGCATTATAATTATGGACGCACAATATATTGGTGCCATATTGGTTATCAGCCAATATTAAATGTGTTTTATTTGTATCTGTAGCATAAATTATATTGGAGATATATCAGCTGATATGGGATAATTTAAAAATACTGTTAAATGCAATTTTTAACAACTCTCAAAATAAATATCCCTTTATACTGTATGTTATAATACTGTGATGCATACATTCAGTTTTTTATTAATTTAGATAAAATATTGCAGAATTGTAATTGTGGCCATTTATTGAAACAAAAATAATTATTAGCAAAACTTTTAATGTCAGTGCATCCCTATTGTAGTTCCCTATTATACTGAAATAAATAAATCCCTATTATAATTCAGTAGTATTCTTAAATGTAATTATGGTAAATAAATTTCATGATCTTCAAGTACCATAGTATATATTAAAGCGAATTTCAACAAGGTGCACAAATGCTCAGCTTCTTCCTTTTCCACGACAACTGCTTTGAGGAATCTTTATTTTTGACATCTGTCATAACGTCAGTGAGTCTGGAAAATGATCATGTATGCAAGGCAGTGACATCATTCAGAAAAATGCTCTTTCACTGCCACTGTTTGATCAGCCTGACTCACCTTTAGCTTTTGCCTGACGTGTTGTAGTACTGTGTCAGCCTGTTTTAGTATTGATGAACTAGTCTTGTTCCACTCACACTCATTCCAGTCCACATTCCAGTCTATTCTGAACTCTTGTTTTGTGTCCTAATCTTTGTTATTGAATTAGAAAGAGCTGGGTGCAGTTCTGTCTGAGAACCATCAGCGACTCCAGGACAGAGAGAGAGAACTGAAAGACATGAAGAAAGTCTTAGACACACTCACGGTAAAAAATCAGCAAAAAAAAAAAACAGTATTGAAGCATATTCTGTTGGTTTTATGAGTTGCATCTCACACAATCATGATCTTTAAAGGGAAAGTTCACCCAAAAATAACAATTCTGTCATCATTTACTCATAAGACTTTGGTTAAAAGATCTAAAATATCATAAAGGTGTGTTGTGGTTTAATTCAAGACTTCTGAAGAGATACAATGGCTTTACATGATGAACAGATTTAACTTAGCCTTTTACTTACATGTAAACAATGATCGATACATGCAATACATGTATGAGCATGTCACATATGGTAAACATGGAAGCTCAAATGTGCACGTATGAACCAATGACAAACACACAAGCTTCAGTGTTTACCTTATGTGATGTGCTCTATATATGTGTGTTAATATATGCAAATAAAAGCCTGAAATAAGTCTGTTCATCACACAACCCTGTTGAAAAAAACCAGCATATGCTGGTTAGGTATGTTTTGAAGCATGGCTGCTGGTTTGAGCTGGTTCTTAGCTGGTCATGTGCTGGTCCTAAGCAACTAGATCCTGCTCAGGACCAGCACATGACCAGCTCAAACCAGCAGCCATGCTTCAAAACATACCTAACCAGCATATGCTGGATTTTTCAACAGGGAAAGCAATCATATCTCTTCACAAGACTTGGATTTTCTCTCACTTTTTTTTTACAAAACCTTTTTTAGTTTTGGATCTGTACTCTCAACGGAAATACAGAAACCTCTCAGGCTTCATTAGAAATGTTTGAATTTGTTATAAAGACTTACCAAAGTCTTATGGGTTTATGGGTAAATTACATTTTTTGCTGAGCTATCCCTGTAAGGTCTGAGCATCCTCTGTGTGTGTGTGTGTGTGTAGAGGTCCTCAGGAACAGTGCGGGACGAGGCGGACGTGGTCCTGTCGGAGCTCCAGGAGTCAGTGCAGCGGATGCTGGAGCTGCTCCAGGACGTGATGGTCTCCACTGCGCAGGAGAAACTCAACGAGGCCCAGGAAGTGGTGACCAAACTGGAGGCCGAAGTCAAACAGCTTAAGAAAAAAGACGGAGAACTGAAAGAGCTCATCAACTGCCAGGACAGTATCTACTTCCTGAAGGTTAGATGATGGTTTCATCAGATTTGGTGACGTGGGGTTTACAAAACTGAGAGCTGGTGTCACAGAGAGCACATGAATGATCTTCTCATACCTCGTCTCCACAGACGTATCAGTCTCTGTGCTGCCCGCTGGAAGGAGGAGAGCTGGGAGCTGTAACCGTGAACCCTGAAGCCACGTTTGATCCTGTCAGGAGCGTCGTCGTCCAGCTGAGGGAGAAAGTGGAGGAGATGTGTGACCAGGAGCTGGACAAGGTCAACAAGACAGGTACAAACACACACAGGTCTCACAATCACACACACGCACACTGAACTGCTGTCATGTACAGGGTCACCATAGGGTCATTATCTGTGTCTGTCCTCAGTGTACAACACCACAGCGTTCACAGTTGCAGACCGCAACGGACAGAAAACAGGAGGCATAATGAAACGTAAGTCAATTTCACTACAGTTCATTTGGTGACAAAAATGTTTACTTTTGTCAAATTCAAAGTGGAATGAATGTTTTATACACAGTATTGCCAATGCAAAGATATAATTGACAACAGAGACTAGAGACATGGAAAAAAGATAATTTGAAGAAAAGATATTAAAAGATAAATTATTATAAAATCTTTTAATACAATCTTATTATAAAAATAAATAAAAAGTGTAAAATTATTTTAATATATTTATATATACAAACAAAATTAAATTAATATAAATTTTTTTTGCATCACAGTGTTTTCTGGAAAAGGAGCCAGAGCCACTCGTGCACAAGGTATGAAAACAATTAATAAAACTATTTTTTATTTAATTTATTATTTTTATTTTTTTCTCTTAGAGTTGCTAATG